GTGTGTCCTTGGACGCATGCGTCGTAGCTGGGAACACCTTCCTTTCTCTTCTCTCCTTTTTCTCGTCTCTCCCTACCCCTCCCTCTTGTCGGCACCTTAGCTTGGGATGCTACTAGGGGCTCCTGGCCTTCCTACTAGGTGTTAGGTGTTTCTTTGACGCTACTAGAGGTTCCTGGCCTTACCACTACTTGGGGACGAAGAGTCTCACACCACCTATGGCGCGGAGCTTAAAAATCTTGCCTCCCCTCGGGAGGCGTGTGTGTGTAACCCTTGGAATCATAGGGATCCTTTCGGATTGTTTTCGCTTCACAGTTGTTTTCCTTGTGTAGCAGGGGGACTGGAGCCGATTTGCCTATCCAGTCCAACGAAGCTATGGCATTTCGGCGGATGAGTGGTCTGATCAACCACTTGTACCTGCGCAATTTTTAAACCTTTGGTAAAGGGCTAATGCACTCAGCAGACATGAACGAACGTCGTCAGCCTGCTCGATCCGCGATCGTCGATGGGTTTCTTCTGCTTTGGGCCTTCTTTCCTCTTAAAGTCCTCCAGGTTCCCGTGGTTCGTACTTGTTCCCTTAGGAATTGGAACCCTAGGCCGGCGTGTGGCACCGCTTTCAGTTCAGTACACCCTATCCTAAGTGTGTGTCAGACGCGCAAACTTGAGGTGACGCATGTGAATTCTTGGTGCGCTGAATGACCCTCTGCGGGGATCGTGCGTGCCCCACGAGCTCCGCGGTCTCCACAGGCCCCACAAACCCCACGCGCTCCACGGGCCCACTATCACAGGCTCCATGGCCCGCGTGTCGCAATACAGTACACGCCAGAACTTAAACCGCTAACGCAAAAAGAACAACGAGCAAAAGAAAAGTTAGGGCCACCGTAACCACTGCCCCAAAAGGCGTACAAGGAGAACACAGCTTTTACCATCGTGGCCGCTGCAATCTCACGCAACTCCCCACCAGCATAACAACGCGGCAACGCGCAATGACAAACTCACCATTATCTGCGGTCAATTAGAAGCGCGGACGCAAGAAGCCACGGAAAACATAGGAGAAGACACCTATAACAATCGCAGCCATGGCAATGCCACGCAACTTCCCATCATCGCAACAATGCGTGTGGGCAAGCTTACCATCGCCTGCGGTTATTTCAAAACACGGACGCGAGAAAAGCTGGAACCAAAGCCACGAAAAACACCAAGGAGAAGACAACTATAACAGTTGCAGCCATGTCAGGCCAACGCAGAAGGACAACCTCTCCCATCCTCCGCTGAGCCCTTGCTATATGACAACACAAACACAAGAAGAGCTAGAACCATGGACAAACACACAAGCAAAAAACACTATGACGAGTGCAGCCACTACAGCCCCTCACCACCATACCTCTGGAGATCCACGGGGCCCGTGAGCGGCGCCCGTGGGGCCGTGAGCCGGTGGTTAAGCCCGCGGACAGCCTGTGGACGGCCTGTGGAAGGGGACGGGCGCGCCCGTACACGGCTGAGCCCGTGGGCCCGTGAGGGACCCGGTCGCTCAGAAGTAGGAACTTTGTAAATGGTGTATACGGTGTAGTGTGGGAAGCAGCGTCTGGGAGTTCTGGCCTCACAACCGGCAACTTTAGCCGAGGCTTGGTGTTACATTGTTGTATATCTGTATAGTCTGCTGTGCGCCGTGGGGGTAGAGAGCACGTGCGTGTAAACGCGGCGTGTCTCTGAGGATCGGGGCGCGTTACATTGCCGTATGTAGTCAGAGGTGCGCAGTGCGGCGATTTAAATTTTATGTCGCTGCCGTGTGGTTTTGTTTTGCGCAGCCTCGGTGGAATGTGTGTTTGCGTGTTACCGTGCCAGTGGGGAACCGGAAACATGCGTGCGTAAACGCGGGCGTCGCTGGTGAGCGGGTGTGCCGCGCGCGTGTCTAAACGTTCCTGGGCCGCCTCATTCGTCGTGTTGTTTTTGTTTTGTCCCAACAAGCGGTGTAGCTTCCTCGGACCAACTTGCAAACCCATGGGACCCATGGCTACAAAAAAAATTGTAGAATTTTTCCCGTGCGTGCCAGCTTCAGCAAGATTCAATCTTTCGACGCACTTGCAGAAAAACCATTTGTGTCCTAGTGGCGATATGCCCGTAGCAGTGATGCGAGTCGGCGGGTAGATCCTGTCAGAGTCAACGCAATTTGCGTTAGACCCTTGTCCTTTTTCACAACTTCTCAAAGCTCCCAACATTGAACAGTCAGTCCTTCTTGCTTCCAGGGCCTGCAAAGGATAGCCTTTTCAGTCTCGCCCTGTGCAGGATGCTTGCGCAGCGCTCAAGTGGCTGAGCGTGAATGGTCCACCAGAAGTAAACGGGCAAGGCCCGCGTGATTCATGATGTCAAAATAGGCTTACTGAAACTTGCTCGACAGCTTGAGTTGAAGCGTCGCTCGCAGGCAAGGTCAAGGGCGCTCCTTTTTCTGCAAGCCCCGCGCGAGATCTTTTTGTGAGGTTCTCAGCTTCGGCAAACTTGACGGCAGTCCTGCAACAGTTCACGCGTGAAATTGGGAACCATTTGCGACGGGGTGTGTTTTTGCTAAAAGACACTGATCACACCACTCCTGCCGTTTCACTTGCTTTCAATTGTGGCAGAATGCAAATCTATTTTGGAATCTTCCGTGGATATGCGCCATGTTTGTATAATTGGTTTTTGCTTTCAGACTGCGTGTGACTACGTGTGCAGTTGCGGTGCTAACTTCTTTGAGCAACCCTAGTGCAAGACAGGTCTGCGGGGACAGTGCTGGAGGAGGGCTTGCGCTGGCGGCAACCTACTCAGTTTGCCTTGTTTCCCAGCGCTTCACAGTACCTTTACAGTTCTGTTGGTTGTTTTTTACCAAACAGTTTACTGTTAGGGGTTCCCAATTCTTTCTTACGCCCTTTCTGTCACTGCTGGTGTCCGCCCTTTTCCGCTGGCCATGCAGAATTTCTATTCATTTGTCTCCCAGGTGATTTCTTTACTTTTGTTTCCCAGGTTCGGTGCCTGCGCTGCTGGTGTCCGCCCTTTTCCGCTGGCCATGCAGTCTCTGGCAGTCTCCTATGTGACTTCTTTACTTGTGCCTCCCAGGTTCAGTGCCTGTACTGCTGGTGTCCGTCCTTTTCCGCTGACCATGCAGCATTATTCCCCAAACAGTTTACTGTTAGGGGTTTTCAATTCTTTCTTAAGATGTGTCCGCCCTTTGTGTCAATGGTGGTGTCCGCCCTTTTCCGCTGGTGGCCATGTAGCATTGCTATTCATTTGTCTCCCAGGTCTGTCGCTGCTGGTGTCCTCCCTTTTCCGTTGGCGTTTCTACGCGCTTGTCTCCCAGGTCTATCACTGGTGGTGCCGCCGTGTAGCATTTCTATTCATTTGTCTCCCAGGTCTGTCACTGGTGTCCGCCCTTTTCCGCGGGCGATGCAAAATTTCTGTTCGTTTTGTTTCCCAGGTCTGTCACTGGTGCTGGCCACGCAGCATTTCTATTCATGTGTCTCCCAGGTCTGTCATTGGTGGTGTCCGTCCATTTCCGCTGGCGATATAGCATTTCTATTCGTTGGCCATGTAGCATATTTGCGTTTGTCTTTCAGGTCTGTCGCTGCTCGTGTCCGCCCTTTTCCGCTGGCCAGCCATGCAGCCTGTCTATTCATTTGTCTCCCAGGTCTGTCACTGTCGATGTCATTCTATTCATTTGCCTCCCAGGCCTGTCGCTGCTTCATTTGTCTCCCAGGTCTGTCACTGGTGGTCTCCACTCTTTTCCGCTGGCCATGTAGCATTTCTATTCATTTGGCTTCCAGGTCTGTAGCCATGTAGCATTTCTATTCATTTGTCTTTGTCTCCCAGATCTGCCACTGCTGGTCCGCCCTCTTCCGTTAATTATGCAGCATTTCGACTTGTTTGTCTCCCAGGTCTGTGAAGATTTTCTATTCATTTGTCTCGCAGGTCTGTCACTGCTTGCTGGTGTCCGCCCTTTTCCGTTGGCCACGCAGCATTTCTATGCATTTGTCTCCCAGCTCTGTCACTGCTGGTGGTCTTCTGTTTCCTTTTGTCTCCCTTCTCGGCTCCCTTTTTGTTGATGTCTCAAAAAGTGGACTTGGGAATGCTTGTTTGATATCCCACCTGTGTAATTTGTGCAATGTAACTTTTTCCTTTTGTCTCCCAGGTTCGGTGGTGGTGTCCGCCCTTTTCCGCTGGCCACGCAGCATTTCTATTCTTTTGTCTCCCAGGTGACTCCGCCTTGTCTCCCTTCTGTTTCCTTTTGTCTCCCGCAGCCCAGAGCTGGGAGACAAAAGGATTGCAGCCTTTGCCTTGCAATCCTTTCTCTCCGAGCTGTGGACGTCGAAAGCTCTGGTTGCGGAGTGTTCCGATTTTGCAAAACAAAATTAATGGTTTTGTGTTTTCGGGCGAAGAAGGGTGGCATCAGGAGGAGGTCAGCAACGTGTAGGATTCTTATGGGCTTGCATGTAAGAATACCACTCTCTCTAATTCACCCTGGCTGTCGACCCTGTTGTTGACTTGGTGTGCTTGTTGGGTCAAGTGTCAAGAAGCCCTGAGTGTTTTGTGCCTGGTTTGGCATTTTCGCTTTATTTCCCTTGGGTTCAGAAATTCTTTCCCCCCCCACCCTCCTCCAAGAAATTCTGAACAACTTCTGGAGAAGCCAGAATCTGTTGAACGCTCTGGTGCCGGGCCTTTTTGCCAAATGTTCAGGGAGTGTGGTGCTCTCTACAGGAACCCTTGTCCTGCAAGGAAGAATGCAGCTTGTGAATGCAGCGATCAGCGTCTCTAGAGCCCAAGTGCTCTGACCAAAGCCCTGGGCTGGTGGGCCTGCTGGGCTGCCACCCAGCAGGCCCACCTGGCAGGATTGATCAAGCGTTCTGAGCATTGGAAAATGCTGCTGAGAGTGCAGGTGTTGATTGTGGTTTGGGTCCTCACAAATACCTGGGAGTAAGCTAGGTGAATTTGTAGAGAGAGCACAGCGTTTCGATTCTTTGGCCTACAGAGCAAGCTACATGTATTGGACGCAGAAGAAGCTTTTTCCTTCAAGGCGAGTATGGCGCAACGAGCTTTCGTTCGAGAACGCCTGCGGGGTGTTATAGGGTTCAGAGCTGATTCTTTGTTTAATAGTCTGCAAGTTTATAGTTTATACATGCTTACCAGCGCTCCATGTTTCTTTGACTTTCTATGCTTCCATACTCATCAAAGTGAGGTTGTCTGCTTGGAATGACCTGACCGCTTCAACACCGAGCTATGATACCCGACAGTGGTGTCCCGAGCAATGCTGGGGCGCGGACCTCATTTGCGCTTTGCCTCATCCTTTGGTGCAGCAGTGCCAGCGCGCTGCAGATAAGGTGACGCTGTCAACGCCGGGGTGGACAGGAAGAGTGGCCGAGAAGAGGCAGAGGCGTACTTGGGACGTCTGCCTGGCACGCTTTTCACCTCCCACAAAGAAGAACCACCCGTCTGTCTCGATGAAAACCACTGGGTTCTCTCTAACTTTGTCTCCTTACTTGCCTTCCACGCTTGTTATTTTTTGTAAGTGCGTTTGACTTTTGTGAACTTTACGATAAGAAAAGCCATGGTGCCGCGCCCGCGCATTCGAGACAAAAGTACGTATGGTCCGAATGTAACGTAAGGATTCCAAGGAACAGGGTCAAGTACAGGTTCAAGTACTGGTATGAATGCAGCGGGGTCCACGAAGGAAAACAGCGTCTCAAGCTCATGTTGACAACCTTGACAGCGCATCTGCCGGCCTCAGATACCCAACCAGCCTGAGAGCTACAGTAGGATGACGCTACTCAACATCGCGACGGTACGTCGATCCGGACCGATATCGCAGATGCAGCGCTGGTGTCTTTGTTGGTGCCAGTCCAGTGTGCGTCTCTGGGACCCCGTCCGGCAAGTAGACGTCAGTGACCGCTGTCTATGACGTCACTAGCTTCGTTTGCCAGGAACAAAGTTCTACTCCGCAAGTCTCCATTCTCCTGAAACTTTTCTTCCGCAACTATTTGGCACTCTCCCGCAACTACTCTTCAGAAACTACTTCGCGGCCTTCAGAAAGTATTTGGCGATCTTCAGGAACTCTTTTGCGCTCTGCAGAAACTATTTGGCGATCTCCAGGAATTTTTTTGCGCTCTTCAGAAGCTATTTTGCGATCTTCAGAAACTATTTGGCAATCTTCAGAAATTATTTGGCGGATCTTCAGGAATTATTTCGCGATCTTCAGAAACTATTTGGCCTTCAGAATCTGTTTGGCGATCTTCAGGAACTATTTCGCGATCTTCAGAAACTATTTGGCGATCTTCAGAGCGCTTCAGAAAGTATCCTTCAACACTTTTACCATATTGTAGCCCAATTGCATGAAGGAGGAGCATTGGGTGGGTGGGTTGTTGTCTGATGTACCTTGTGACGGCTACGGTATTAAAATACCTATTTTGCGATCTGCAGAAACTTTATCGTGTAAGTTTGATGTTGCTCTTCGAGTCCTCGACTCTTCGTAGTTTCCGAACACTAGTTTCTGAAGAAAACCGTAAAGTTTCCGAAGATTAGCTCCCGAAGAACAGTTTCCGAAAAAGACCTTAAAGTTTCTGAAGATCACCTTTGAGTTGCCGAAGATTAGTTTCCACAGAAAAGTTTCGGAAGAAAACCGTAAAGTTTCCGAAGAAACCGTTTAGTTTCCGAAGATTTGTTTCCGAAGAAAAGCGCAAAAGTTTCCGAATATTACTTTCCGAAGAAAACCAAAAAGTTTCCGAAGATCATGTTTTAGTTTCCGAATAAAACTTTGACCGTTGGCCAGTGTCGTGATGACATGCGCTGGCCGCCTGTTGGACGCAGTGAATTGACGGTGAATTAATAAATAGATTGAAAGTCAACCCCGGGGTGTGACACTTACGTTTAGGGCTCGCAAGAGCAAAAGCCGGTTGTGCAAGCCACCGAACGCATTAGCGCTTTATTACATGAGCCCTTGACTGCAGAAACAACGTACGAGACAGCGGCAAGCTCTACTTAGAATCACAACACCAAAAAGAGAGGCTTCAGACCAGACCAAACGTGCTGCCCATACCACTCTCGACTACACCGAACAGCTGCTCACTAATTTGGCCTGATGCATATCACTCGCTTTGATCGTGACCAGCTCGATTGATTGCCGAACTTCACGGCCAGATTTCCTTCTTGGATCCATGATTTCCCTCAACACCTCCTTCCTCCTTCCCAGTACCTTCGCCCTCCTCACCTCCTCCCTTGGATGGTCCTTTTTCGACTACTTCGACACCTACCACCGGACCGGGCTCGCTTGTGGTGACTACACCTCTTCGTCTCTACACTACCACTACGGTGCCGCGCCCAGCTATGAACCACTTGACGACTCGATCTCGATCCCGCTCTCGACTGAATCCCGGGCAGGTTTCACCCCTTCTCTACCCGACCATCGACTAAAAAGGATCCACCACCTGCTTTTTAATTTCAATTTTGTTGACGCCTTACTTTCCACTTTATGTCTACATGTGATTTCTACACCTTCTCTTCCTGATCCATGGCTCCTAGTATGCTGACAACTTCGATTCGATTTCAATTTCGACTTCATTGGAGCCATGTCCAGCGCGACCCCACCGCCTTGCGGCCTGACTGTCACACAGGGCGTTCCTATGGTGGCGCAGGCAGTACTACATCGTGAATTACTTCGCGTACATGCCTCTTTGGCCCACATCGCCCACATCAACACCCTTCTTCGACAACCTCTTGCTCTTCGTTCCCCTCCCCTCCTCGATCGAGTCCCACATCTTCGCGCTCAGCTTCAGGGCCTCGACCACACCCTTTTGATTGCGCTACGTGTCGACCATACTGCCATTCACTATACCCACGAACTCCTCACCGCCATGGGCCTACGACGCGTCCTGCGCCACAGCCCGGAACAACTTGAAGCTGAACTTCAGGGTCGTACGACTTTTGCAGACCGTTTGCCTCTTTCTACTTCTCCAACTATCACCACAGTTGATGGCGTCGCCGTCTTTGAAGGCAGACCTCATTATACTTTTCCTTCCAGTGACTCTCCCATCCACTCTACTTCGACGTCGCCTTCGATTACCAGAACAAACAGCACCTCCGTTCGAGCACCTTCTGCAGGACCTACTCCTCGCAGTGATTTACCACCAACACTTGTGGTTGCTCGTTCTCGGTCGCGGTCTCGACCTCGGTCGACCCCGTCCTAGTCCATACGTCTCACCCTACTTTTTCTTCCTGCTCAGAGAGCAAACTCGTTGCGCTCTTACTACTTGATTCTGCACTTTGTTACCTTCATTTCCTTCTGACCAGCTGCAACCACGATTGTTTTATCTGAATTGTTTTACTTCCTTTGCCCCGGGGCTCCAGCAGATTTGATTTCTTGACTCCATTTGTGCATCTTTTTCACCTTCAAGTTTCTCCTATTCAATTTCTTGGTCTTTTGCACTGTTTTGACTCATTTTGACCCATTTCGGTTCCTGATGGGGAGCTCTGCGTCCTCTCAACGTGGACATCGACGACGACGTGGACCGCCTCCAGATCACATGACCGCCTTCCCACAGATGATCCGGACGGCCACCTCACATCAATTTCCACCCTCACCGCCGCCACATCTCACCACTCCCTTCATCCCTCCCCCACGGCTGGCAGCACCTCCCCGCATGAACCCACTCTCCCGCCCTACCACGGCTCGGCCAGCTGGCCCGCCACGTTCCTCTGCTCGGCCCCACGGTTACGCACCGCGACCACGCCGTCGCTCCCGACGCGACCACATGACCGACGACGATCCCGCTCTGCCAGATCACAGCATCGCCGACCCACACACTCCCTTACTGGTCGCTCCACGCAAGAGCCTCACTCTCGACGGGACACCCGGCGCTCTCAGGATCGCCGATCTCACCCACGCTCTCACTCCACTGGACGACATCAATCTCCACGTCAGGATCGACGCACTTCTGGGAACCAAGATCGGCGATACTCTGATCAACATGACCGACGAACTTCCAGGGACCCATCCACACATCAGGATCGCGGTGCTTCCAGCACCCACGATCGGCGACAATCCGATCATCGCGACTGTCACACTTCAGTGGATCGGGATCGGCATCAGCCCGACTTACGAGCTTCAAGGGATCAATCTGACCATCCACACTGAAGATCCTCTGATACTCAGGATCGACATCAGCCTGCCCATCGCGATCGACGAGATTCAAGGGATCGGGATCGGCGCCCGTCTGGCCATCATGTCCTCCACGGGCTCGTTCCCGACGCAGCAGGTCCCTTAAGCCCACCCCGCTTCACCGACCGACGCGCACCACCCAATTCCACACGACCCAACTCGGATCGAGCCTCTTCCGCAGCTCAGGGACTCGTCCTACTTATTCCCGGCCCCGGCGACAATCCACGCTCCCTTCCCACATCCCCTGATTCTTCGCGTCCCGCAACTCCCCCACAAGCTTTCCAGCAACCCCCACCACTTTCCCTCCCACCCTCCACCGCACTTTCCAACCCTGAAGCTGAAGAACTTCGCCAACTTCGTTTTCGATTCCAACAACAAGCTGCTCAACAACAACTTCAACAACAAGCCGCTCAACAACAACTTCTACTTCAATCTCAGTGGGCACCCTTCCTCCAGCCTTTCCAAATTTACCTTCCGCAAGTCGCTCCTCCGACCATGGCCACACCTACACCACCTCCACCGGAACCCACTTCTTTGAGTGACCGTCCAACCGCACCCCCTGGCCCATCCAACCCTTCCCCACATACAACCACTGCAGAGCCAGAACCAGATGATCTCTCAATCTCTCTTTTCGCACCACCACCAGCCACCAACACCACCAACCCTTCTCCTGAAGCACCAGGTCCTCGCACTTCACGACGTACCGAACGACCTGTCGCCCCTCCGGCCTGGGGACTTCGCTGGGAAACTCGCACTACATCCATGAGCCGTCTAGCAACTTGGTATATTTGATGGGCAATTTAGCCGAAATCCGCCTCAGTCCGGGTCCTCAACAGCACATTTGGACTACGCGTTTCTGGCTTCACATTCGCCCCACTGGCACTCTCGACCTTTGGCTGGACATCCACGACCACGGCTTCCATGAATGGGATCGACTTCTCCGTTTTGTTGAACAATATCGTGAAGATCTCATCGACGATCCCTCTCGACCTTGCAGCTGGGAAGAATGCGAGGCGCCAGAAATTCTGCCCCGCACTCTTGTGGAGACCACCATCAACGAGATCATTCGCCTCCTCCCCCCACCTCTTCGTCGTGTGGATCCTGCCTCTTGGAACCGTCACTTCGGCAACTACATCCATCACATTGCCCACGTGCCCGGAATCCTTGAACGCAATCCTGTTTTCCTCTGGGGCAAACTCCCCTGCCGCCGGTCTCTTTTCTTGCTGCTCAAGTTGG